CGTTTGATGCTAGAAAATTTTGCTGTTTCCCACAGTTCCAGTCCGTAGGTCCAAATAGATTTCAGTATTGTCTTGTAGATCAGTAGTTTGTTGTCAATTGAAAGTTGAGATTTTCTGTTCAGTAGTCTATATAACTGGCCGTATCGTCAATCTTCCACAAAAATTGTTGATCGTTTGTCGTCTGTAACCTCATTATTTTGTTGTCAGGAGGTGGGGGTCACGACAAACGACCCAATATTTTTCTAGGTCACCTTTTATCTTGATTTTATGATTAAAATATCTTAAAATTCAAGTGAAAAGTAAATTAATGTTCATGAGTTTTCAATACCTAATTAAATAGACAAAGTTTGCCAATCTTTAGATTGAAAATTCCCTAATTCCGAGAATTTCCTTGAATTAAAAAGTTGTAAGTTATGATAAAATGAAGTTATTTATATGTACCATGGAATATTGAGTCCTTTAACCAAATTATCCAATGATTTTGTCATTCAACATGCTCCCACATTGGTTTTGCGTAATCTGCAACATCTAGACAAAAAAAATTAATAAATAAAAAACACGAGATTAATCCTTATGCCTTTTAATCGGATGAATATAATTAGATATATCAAACCAGATATAACATTTATTTTATTTGTTTTCTGCATATTTTTACATTAAAGATTAAATAAAATATGAATTAAATTACATCTATTATCGGATAATAGGAGTGGCCTCAGTGAAGGTCTGGAATGATAAAACAGATTATGTAGATAAGATATCTTAGCCAAGGATAGATGGTGCCTGGGTGGATCTGACATGTGACAATGGTAGGTAGGTGTTCACTCATGCTGGGTACACTCGGGGTACAAAAAAATATATCTGATTTCCAAACAATGTTTTTTTTTTGTTTTTTTTTTCCCATTTGTTATTGTAGAATGACTTAATCCCAGGGTAAACTGAAGAATCAACAAGTGAAATAAATAATTTTAAAACCTTAAATAATATCATGTTTATTCATGAAGGGATTTGTATTTTTTATTTTTTGCGGGAATGGCTGTAAGATTTTACGCAAAATCCTATTTTTCTAGTAGTTTATTTTTTTTTCAATTATTAAAGCCGTAATTTAGTTTTTCTTGTGATTTTTTTAAAGTTGATTGTGTCCTTCTCAATTTTTCTCTGTTATTATTTTAGTAATATTGAGTCTTGACCCCTCAAAATATTTCCTCCTCACGTTCCTAAACTGCTTAGTGTAGTGGGATCCTCGACTGCATCACATAGCTCACAATTTGAAATGAAAAGAAAATATTTTTACTATCCTGGGGCTGTTGTCCCTTTAGGACAAATTATAGATACAGAGGAAAGCATAGGCTTTGTGGCCATACATTAACTTAAATATTTACAAAATAATATGTAATTAAAATAAAAATATAGAAAGAAACAAAAAGTAAAAGAAAATAGTGTCGCTTTTATTTTTATCAAATTTAATCATTTATTTGTATTGCTATGATCGGTTCTCAACCGAATTATATTTGTCTCCTCACTTCTTTTCAAAATCATTTCGATAGAGGCAAACCACGGTTTTAAAGATTTTTTTTGTGGATTGTATAGTGGTCTCTCCTTTTGCTTTGAGACTTCCAGTCACATAAATTCTGTCATTAATTAACAATTCTTTTGCTTAGTAAACGGAAAACGCCTATTTTAGAGACTTAGAGACTAATTGTTTTGGGTATCTCGAGCAATTTGATGAGCATTTTATGTCAGTGTAGACCCACACGACCTGGCACCCACTGCAATGAATATTTATTGCTTGATGTGGCAATTAAATCGAGGATTTCAATACAGAATGAAATTGGAAATTGAGATCCTGTGTGAATTTTGTAGGCATTGGCAAACGAGTTACAAATTGACAATAACGATAATTATAATAATATAAGTTAAAAATTTGTCTGAACTATGGTTTAGTTCAGTTTATTTCATGTTGATTAAAAATAATACAATCTGAACTACAGAATACATATAAATTAAAGATATACAATTTGAGCAACGAATTAAATGAACAGTTGTATAATTTGTAAAATGGGGATTGGTCTGCCGTTAGGTAGACAGAGGGTAACTTCCCCCTCCACTAGTTACTCAATAAAAAAAAAATTAAAATAATCGCAACGTTTCGGAAATATACTAATGTGCTACAAATAAAGATATTCTTAATTTATTTTTTTAAAGTTTCTGTATTACGATTTTAATAGAAAATGTTGCTTTTCGAGTTTTCTTAACAGAGTTTTTGAAATTTCTTAATAAAGACTTAGAAATAAATACTATGAATGTTTTTCTTCTATATGAATGTTTTTCTTTTTTATATGAATGTTCTTCTTTTTTATATGAATGTTTTTCTTTTTTATATGAATGTTTTTTTTGTATATATTAAGTATGAATGTTTTTCTTTTTTATATATCCATTTGTTTTACTTATGACTTATTTAATTTGCTACCAATTTCTGTATTTTTTTTATTTTTTTATTTTTATTATTATTTTTTTTTAATTTGAATTCAAGTTACATTTCTTTAGTTTTATAGTTTTTACCTTTGTTATATAGATATATATTTTTATTTTTTATTTATTTTTTATTGCATTGTATACATAGTATGAATGGGCCTCACTCAGCTTTAGTACTCAGTGTCCTTAAATGTGGCAAAATGTATTATTTCTCAATAAAAAGATTTAAAAAAAAAAAAAAAGAAATAAATACTGCTATTAAATGAATTAATTTTAGGGAATTGAGCCCGAAAACTTTTTTTTTCAAATATGTAAAGGTAATTACATTGGAAGAAAAAGAAAGATACTTACTAACTATATGGTGTTTAAGTGATTCTTGAAGTCCTTTTAAGTGTAATTACACGAGGAATAATACTTTCAGAGATAATTTTTTAATAATTTCTTCATTAGACATGATTATATTTTACCATTTGGCAAAATATTGAACCCTTAGATCCGCCTGTAGGGGAAGGGGGAGTAAAACCCTCCATTCCTTCACTTAAGATTGTCACGTGCCACCCTTGCACTTGCACCACCCATGTAGTGTTTCAGCTGATTTATAATTTGCTTCATTCATAATTACTTATTTATTTATAGATATTCATTTGCGCTAGCTTTGACTCGTTTTAAAAGATAAATTTATTGCAATAAATTGCTAGGGTGTGTGGATTTTTGTTTTAAGTAATAAACAGATTAAAAATATATAAGTAGAATTAAATACCTTAAATCATTTATTTTCGAAGTGAACCTTAATCGATTATTCTTTTAGAAATCGATATATTTATCGATTTCTATTTAAAAACACCCGATGAATCCGATTTTTTTTTTAATGTTTATTTCCATTTTTTTTTTCAACGCCACTAGCCTTTTTTTTCACAGAATGCTATGTTTTTTAACTTAAATAAAAAATGATAATTCAGCTTTTCTGCCGTTTTATTTGAATGAAAATTAAAAATGTATTTACTTTATAATAAAAAAAGAAGTTAAATTTTTATAGTACAATTTTAATATATTTTTTCTTCCTCAATTGTACAACATTTTTTTCTCTCAAAACTAAATCCAAATCAAACTTTTTTTTATTCCAAAACGAACCTTGCAATTTAACTCGTTTCAAAAGCGGTCCTATTTAAGTTTCGTTGATTTTAGATTACTATTAAAATAAAAGAGCTCTCGCTCAATCTCAGCTGGTTTTAGCGCTAATGGTTGAGAGAATAGTGCAAGGATCTCCTCGAGTCCTTATTTCTCTCTATAGCTGGAGGGGAAAGTCTAGTTGGGAATTCCCTTCCTTGATTGTAAATATTTCATATATTGGTTTATTATTTTCAATAATCAGGCATTGTGATCGACCAAAAAATTCAAAAACTCAACCCCCTCTCAAAATTTGAGGTTTCACGTTTCAGGATGCGTAGAATTCGAAAAACAAATAATTTTTTTTTGTCCGTCCGCCGTTCCCCGTCCGCGCATTTTCTCCGAAACTACTGTACCGATTTTTTTCAAATTTGGATATAAAATCAGAGGTCACCCGAGGATGATCCTTTTTCATCGACACTACTATCCGCCTTTTACTTTCAAAATGGCGGCCGAAAAACCTGCTTTGCTATAGACTGTAGCTCCTAAACGAATGTACCGATTTCAATCAAACTTCGCTAAAGTCATTCTCTTGACGCCATTTAAATTTATCTATATAACATACTTTAACGAACAGAAGTTGGAAAAAAATTTAGGAGGGATGGTAAAATTCAATTCGGAATAACTCAAAAAGTATATACTTTTTTGTCGATATTGTGATAAGATGTCTCAAAGGTATTTAAATTTCCTACAAAATGAAGGAAATTTAATCGATTTTCTATGTACTGAGGGTGTACTGTCTGCGTTTTTTTAATTTACTTATCTTTAAGTTATTTTATTCTATTTATTGTATATACTTTTTGATTATTATTTTGCTTCTTTTATTTTATATTTCCTGTATATACAGTATGAATATGGTCTTATCTCATTATAACCATCGTCTATGTGACTGAATGTTATATTTCTCAACAAAAAATAACTATTAAAATAATGGCAACATTTAGGAAATATGCTAATGTGCAAATAAACAAAGTCTAAATTATTTTTTTTAATATTTTTATGTTACAATTCTAATGGAAAAAATAGCTTTTAGAGTTTCCTGAATAATTATATAAATACTTATAAATAAATACTGCTATTAAATGAATTAATTTTCAACCCACATACATTTAGGGGAAGGAGAAGTAAGACCCTCCATTAGCTCAATAAAGATTGTCACGTCTCACCCTTGTACTTGTAAAATCAGGAAAGGGGTGGCAGTATTTCTGGTATTTTGTATTTACTTCATTCATAATTGTTTATTTTTAGATATCCAACTAAACATATTTTAAAGATAAATATATTGCAATAAATCGCCAGAACAGGCTCCGAGGGAGGGGACGCGTGGTGGGGGGAGGGTTTGAAGTCGCCCGAGTGACAGGGACTCGACCATTGCAGCCAGAGCTCTCGCTTCGAGATGTGTGCCACTTCCAAGTGTAACTGTTCCGAGCTGAAGACCGACATCCTGGGCAGGTCTGTGTCCGCCCAGAGGAGGATGCTGGAGTCCTGGAGTTCCTTCGTCGACAGGACCTCGCACAACGAGAATTTCAAGTGAGTATCCAAGTTCATTATAGTAGTAGTTGTAGAACTATCCAGTAAAATTACTTATTAGTTGTAATATTATGTTTATTATAGGGGTTGAAAACCTTCATGGATTTTTTTTAAGAAGTACCAGTATCTGTGAAACAATTTAGAAAAAAAAAAGTGTTTAAAATGAACTAAGGAACTTTTTTTGTAAATATTTTTTGATACAAAACTTATATTTATTTAAATTCTTACAATAAATTTACCTTAAAGGAGAAATTAAGAACAGTAATTAAGCTGATATTAAATTTATAATGTGTCATTTGTTTAAGCAGCTAAAAATAAAAATCATTTTTTTCGACTGGCTTTTTGGAGAAATCAACTTAACAATCGAATATTTTAAATAAATGTTCTGTTAAACCTTTACTTGAAAACTTACAAGATAAAAACTTCATACCAATATTCATTTCGTGCCATGCTTCATTCGACTTTGTTATTTTTTATAGTAATATATACTAACAATAGGATATAATTGTACCAATCATCTCATATACAATATATATTTAATTTAATAATTGGCATAAATTTTATAAATCATTATTCTTATAATTAGCAGTAAAAAAAAGGATGCTTAAAAAATAACAGAGAACTCATCTATAATTATAGTTATTAATATAACTACATAATCACATATATAAAAATAATTTATACATATAGCCATTGATGCATAGGTTTCTATAAAGGATACGAAAACTGACCTTACCAATATGTCAAAACAAGGACATGCTTAAATTAATATTTATAAAGTTAATTTTTGATGTAGGTTAACTTTTAATTATGTTTTTGTGAATTTTGACATTTATATTTCAAAACAAAAGTGTATCAAAATGGATTAAACGATTTAATATACCAAATATGGGTACATTAAGTGCACAATGTTCTGATTTCACAGATGTCAAAAATGGTCAAATTACATAAAGATTTAATTTGATGAAAAGGTTACTTAATCTCTTTTTGTAATTGTATTTTCACACATGATGTACCATCACCGAAATAAATTAAATAATTGGCTTTAAAGATGAATTTATGAACTTTAATTAATAATAATTAATTGAATTTAGAACATGAATAACTAAGTAGTTTAATTAGTTACACTTTTCTTATTTTTTAAAACATTTTAGTTTAAAAGTAATCGGATTAGCTTCACGTTAATCAAATTCAACTGTTACTGTTCAAGCATCTTTAGAAATTTGGTGTATTTAAAAACAATTTTTGTAATTTATTGTCTATTAAATATTGATAAATAATTTTTAAATCCTCCAATTTTCAACACTTATTATTTCTAGGTTGATTACTTCTTCCTAATCATTAATTATTTTTTATTTATTTGCTCGTTATTACTAAATTATTTATTTAGTATAATATATTAATAATTACTGCCGACTTGAAGTCATCTTATCAATTCAAAAATAATTAATTTATTATACTTATCTTTTTTGATTAATTAATTATAGATTTAATATTTATCATGTAACAGGTAGGAAAAAGTTATTAGTAAAAACTTAATTAGTAAGGGTACTGACCTTCCGTTAGTTCGAACGAGAGCTGTGGTTGGAACGTGATGCTGACCATGTCTTTGTATAAACTTCCTCAAAAATCCAATTTATGTATTCTGTTTCGTACTATTTATTTGCATCGCGATAGTTTTGATTATATTTAATAATAATTTATATTGCTACTAATTATAATTAATTGAAAATAATTCTTACAACACTCTTATATCCAAGTGAACGAAATTAACTGTTCATATAATACCGTCCGTGATTGTTAGTTTAAAAAAAAAAACTTATATAAACAAAATCATTAGCAAATGATCAATTAAGTCACTGTTCAACATTAAGTTTCAAAACTAGAAATCATCAATGAACTATTCATGTAAATAAGGCATCCATGAATCTTAAAAATCATGTTCATAAAATGTAGTAAAAAAAATGTAAATTTTAACAATATGTCATCTAGAATTTTAGGACATTAATTGTCCACTTATGACATTAATATGTCATAAAGTGAAAACAAAATTATTTATATGAATTAAAATAAATTTTATAGGACATGAAGTACTTTCCTTCATGGTTCGCAATGATAATACCTGTGTTTATTATTTATAATTTAATAAAATTTAATAGCAATAGAATATTTATTACTAATATTAATTCATATATTTTTTAAAAATTATATATAGATATATTTTAATTTTTTTTTTTTTAATTCAACCATTTATTTTATTGCCCCAAAATAATGAACATGTTATCTTCAGTTAAATACCTTGCCAAATATAGTTTCAACTCTATTATTTTATAAAGGTTCTCTTAAACTTCACTTAAAACTGACTAATGATTTATGTCTAATTATGTAATTTATTTTTAATCTAATTTCATAAGTATCGATAACTGCAAGAAAAGCAAACAAAAATAAAAAGATGTACAAATAACCAATTATATAAGAAATACATATTCTGTAACTATGTTAGATAACGAAAAGGAGTGTTTCGAATGAGCTGTTATATTTATAATATTTGTTTAACCCGGCAACGTCCTCAAAGATTTTTTTTCTAAATTCATTTTTTTAATATTAAGTAGAAGTGTGCTTATATTGCATATTAGAAAGGTTTTAAAAACATCAATCACTCATTAAATAAATATATATAAACAAAACCAATGAATGTGTCAAAAATTGTATGATAATATACAATGACTTGTGATAATACAATTCATACAAAGGATAGTACAAAAGTATTATGGATTCAATTCTATTAATATTTTTTAAAATGAAAATTTTACTAAAACCGTTATAAAATTATTATAAGCGTGAAATATTTACATTGAAGATCCGTTGCAAATAAAATATAGGAAATTAATTTCTTTTTTTTTTTTTTTTTGCTGAGCAACCAAGCAATTATAAAACTTTTGAATTAAAAAAAACAATATCACTACTTTTCTTTCATGATGAGTTGCTAGGAAGATAAAATCAGAGAAGACACGACCTTGTCTAAAGCTGTTTATCTTACATTTGAGAAGGCTCCTTGAAATATGATCGACTTCATGAGATCTTTCTTAGTACGTTATTAATTCCGTTTGTTATTATTATCTGTTTTTTTTTAATTAATATTTTTTGTATCAGCGTTTAGTATTATCTCAAGAAATGAGCGGGTGATAAATGAATATGACATTTCGTTCGATTTATTCATTAGTCATGTTTTGTACAGCTGTCGTTTAACACATAAGCAATTTTAAATTATAAAAATAAAAAGTACTCATGTAGCTTGTAATCATTTATCATGCCAACCGGTCAGAACATTTTTATATTCACCTACCTATATATGGAATATATAGCAAGGGCAAGTATTGCGATCGTGAAAATTTTCGAATCTGAGTTTTCAACGGATGTTCAACATGTTTTGAGCTCTCCTGAGTCCAAATAACCAGGTCCCGCAAAATGGTCTGTGTGTGTGTATGTATGTGAGCTGTCTAGCTCAAAAACAAAAAGTCGTATGTAACTGATATTACGTATTTAAGATAAGTATATGCCTTAGATGTTACAGCAACTTTTTCCTTAAAATTGGCTAACCGGAAGGGTCACTTTAAATCAACGTTGAAACACATTTATACAATTCCTCGAAAACGGCTTTGATAAAAATCGGTGAAGCATTGTATAATTAAGTCTTTAATATCATTTAGGTCTTATCCCCATTTATGTCACTTAACAGGGTTTAAATATCCTATGTTGGAATATGTCTTGTTCTAAACTACCTTTAATATGGTTTATTTAAACAAAATAGCTATATTTTATTGACAGCAACTATAAAAAATGGCTTAATATGAAGTTTGCAAGAATATGATAATTGGAAACTAAAGAAAAATGCTTATCTAGGTTGAAAATGTATCGCCGTAAATAACAGTCAGAAGGTACATGTATGATATATCGTTGGAAAGCGGAGAATATGTGAAACAATAATGTTAAATAAATAAAGTTGTAGAAGGTAACGCGGAGTTACGAAAAAATATATAAATAATAATTTCAGAAAACTAACATTATTTAACGTAATCACATGTTTTCAATGAAATTAAATGAAATTTTGTTATTAAATGTAAAATTTTAAAGTTTTTTCTAAGTTTGATAAAGAAAATATTTAAACTCCACCGAACCATGCCAATGTTTAAATTACTATTTAATTGTACTTGTTTGAAAGAAAAAGTGAAATATAAAAATATTTCATGAATATGTTTATAACCTTAAATACTTTTGCTGTAGTTTGATAACTCTAGATATGACATTATATTTAAATAATTAGGCATCTATTTGGCGTGTATTCCAAAAAGTCATCAAGTAACCATTTATGAAATTAAATTAGTGAATAATTTGATGAATTTTCAATTTGTGAAATCCCAACATTATGCACTTACAACTAGTGTGATAACTTTTGACCTATCCATGGTAGGCAATGAAAATTTCGTAATTTCATTTTAGTAAACTTTACAATGGAAAATAACAGTTTAATAACTAATAATCCAACGATCGATAATCATTTATAGATAAAATATTCAGATGTACTTTCAAATATCTCTAGGCATATACGAACTTTTCTGTAGTTTTTATATAAGTACCTAGCCATATTGGCATAAAGGGTAACGATATGGACGAATGGGCTGTAACTGAAATACGTTTGTTACAGTTGAAAGTTGTCTTCTTTCAATTAGTGATTGAATCCTTAATTGATACTGTAAAATTCCTCGAAGTAATTAAAAATTAATTAAAAGTAACTTGCGTAGGACCAACTAAAGCCTAAAAATTATTATTATTAATTAAATTTACTTATACAAATTTTCCATTTTCATGCGACATTATTTTTCATAATTAAAATAATATTAATTTAACTAAAAATTTGCTTTTAATTGCTTCAAACGGAAATTTATAATGTAACCACAATCATTTCAATACTACATGCATATTCAAATAAATTTCATGTT